TGTACGCAGTAAAACCCTCTCGTAAATGTCATGAACACGGGGCGGGGGGGTTTGCTTGAGTACCTTCTTCTTAGGTGGAATCTCCTGGATGGGAGAGGAGGCTGTTTGGAGCAGATAAAAGGTTTGCCGGAGAAAGACCCCGGTCGCCATTTCAAATTGGATTCTCTGCTGTTGGACTGTTCTCTGGCAAGCAAATTGCAGGACTGCTTACTGGGTGTAGTTTAGCTTAGAAAACCGCTGAAACCGCAGTTGCCAAATCTGTATGGGCACAGGAAGAACCTTCCATTCCCCAAACTTGCAGAAATGCACTTTGGGACTTAGAATCCTAGAACAGAGTTGGAGGGGGGGGGCGCTGCTGGTGCAGGACACCAGGTCACACCATCCCGCTCAAAGGACTGTCTGGTTTCGCCTTGAGTATCCCCAGTGAGTGAGAGCCCGGGGCTTCTCCAGGCTACTGGTCCACTGTTCTGTTGCTCTGACAGCGAGGAAACTGTTCCTGATATCTGTCCTGCATCTGGTTTCTTCTAGCCGGAGCCTGTCATTCTGCAGTCAGGGATTTCGAGAAGAGATCCTGTCCTCCCTCTTTGTGGCAGCTGCCAGGGACTTGCACTGTGCCATCATACCTGGCCGTCTTCTCTTCTGTCAGTCCCTCTTTCCAGGCCCTGGGCCATCCTTCCTGCCTTCCCCTGAACCCTTTCTGATTTTTCTGCATCTTTTGTACATTTTGGTGCTCAGAACTGGATGCAGCATTTTAGATGCGGTCTGACTAATGCAGAGTTTCGGGGAACTTCCGCTGGTCGCACGTGATACTTCTATGAAAGGCATTTACCCTTTTTGTGCTCCATCACACTTCTGGCTCCTGCTCAGCGTGTTGGCCCACAGCAACTCCAAGGTCTGCCATTGGGAGAGGGGGGGAAGGAGCTCACCTGAGTCTCATTTTCCGCCCCATGTATAATTTTGTGCACCTCACTTTCCTTGCCTTTTTCCCCTGCTTTATAATTTTTCCTTGTAAAGGGAGGGAGTGCTCTGAGCCCTGGATCATTTTCGTTGTCCTTTTCCTCATTGTTCCACCTCTGAAATACCTTCTTTTTTAGGTCTGGTGGCAGGAACATGGTATTCGAAGTGTGATCACACTTAGATGTAGGTATGGAGAATAGGATATTGCCAGTTTTATTTTCAGTCCCTTTGCTAATTATGTTTTAAAGTGGAGCTTGCCTTCTTCACGGCAGCCGCAAACTGGGTCAGCTTTTCATCCAGCTGCCCATCACAGCCTCAAGATCTCCTTTTTGATGAGATGTGACTAGCGGAGTTCCCAGCGACTCATGCTTGAGCCTGGAAGATTTTGCCCCAAGGTAGCTCGCTTTACACCAAACCGCATTAGCCATTTTGACAGCCATTCCCCCAGTCTGGAGCACCTTTTCTTGCAGCTTTTTGTTTTAATCCCCTAAATCTTGGGGTGTTGTGCTCCCAACTTTTGTGAATTGCTGCTCACGGTGACTGTTGCAGCGTTGAAGCAGACATCATATTAAATCTTTGGGTGTTGTTCATCTGCTTGTCTTGGGTGTGCAGGCTTAAGATTGATTTCTTGTCTTTGGGTTTGCCCTGGGTGTCCTATAGTTAATGAGGATGTAAAGGGATTGGCAGAGGCATAAATGAAAGCAAGCCTTACACGATCGAGGGAAGAAATAGAGCATTCTACTGGTAGGACATCTGTTTTTCTCCTTGGATATATTTTTCGCAAGTGTGAGAACCACTTCCATTTGAAAGCGTTAACTGGCTCCGATCCATACAGACTGCGTTTGAAGCTAGGCTGACATTGTTGGTTGTGTAAAACCATAAAATAAAGAAAGAATCCAGTGTATTTCGAAGGAAGCTGAAAACAGTCACCTTCCGACCCTAACCCCTCCCCCTGCTTTGATCTGATACAGGGACCATAATCTTTAGCCGCACTGTTTACTGGGAACTCTTGTCCGCTGTGGGGCCCCTAAATGAGTGGATGAGGCACAGGAGAGGTTTCCATCTCTGCCAGATGTCTTGCCAGGGGGTCTGCTCTCCCCACGGCAAAGTTGCCGCTTCCTAGTAGAAACATGCTGGGGCTTGACCTGGGCTGCTCTTTGCTTCCCAGTGCAAAGGGCATCTCTCTTTGCTCCTGCTCAGGACCGTGGCGTCCCTAAATGGATTGCATCAGACATGCGTCCTCTTCCTCAGTGCTCACGACGAGGATCGCATGCAGGAAAGGCGCATTTGGCAGTGCTGGGAGCCATTTGTCTCAGGGAAGCAAGGCAGTCATTTCCTGACGTCACGGCACCCGCAAATCAGATGCTCTTTACCAGGACCGCAAATAATTTCTCGATCCCTCTTTGAGGGCTCCCGTTGTGCTTCAAAATCACCTTCAGGTAACGGAGCACAGCTTTCGCGGCCGGCCTTGTCCCTTCCTTCCTTGCCGGGCAGCGGGGAGGTTTCTGTGCTCTGAGGTGCACTAGAGCTCCAGGGTGCCTTCCCGGCCTCCAGCAGGCATGAGGCCCTGCCACGGTCCGGGACCGCCGCCTTCACCAGCGTCACTCCCGGCCCCGTTTGGTTGGCTGTGCCGCAGCCAGGGAACGGGTGTTCCGAAGCTTGGCCAAAGTGGATTGATCCCTCTAGTTTCCAGGTTCTAATTCATGCATTTCTTGGAAAGGACGGCAGAAAAACTAGCGGCTGCAACAAAACAGAACAGCTTGTAAGCGCACGGAATGGCTGGTGTCCTTCCGCAGAAGTTGCCCATGCCTCCCTGAGATATCAGCTAATTTCTTTTGTCAGTTGGGGGTCGGGGGTGAGGTACCTTTTTACCTCGGTTCTGAGCAACATGCAGGCAGCCAGAAGAAATTATTGTTGGGGTGCGGGGCGTGTAAAAGCAGAGGTCAAAGCTGTCCTCCCCCACCCCACTCACATGGGTGCTGAAAAATAGGGCAAGTTGTGGGGGTGCTATTTTCCCGGCCACACAAGCCCCTCGCCTTGCGGTCCTCAGTTTGCGGCAAGAACCCCCGCTGTCGCTCGGAGAGGCACGGGGGACACGCTCTTGCACGCAGGTCACAGCTGCTGTTGACCACAAACGGCCTCGTCCCATCTCTCTGGAAAGGAGTGCCCCGGCACAGAGGCGGGGAAGGAGGAGAGGACCCACGGCTCCAGCTCAGCGCGAAACGGATGCTCGGGTCTCCCTGCGTCTGAGCACCTGGGCTTCCAGTCGGGCGCAGGACTGGTCCTTGATGATCAATTTTGCTGGAGCTGTTTTTTCTGTGATGTGTCAAGATGAGTGCAGCTGGTATCGTAGCACTTGGAAAAAGATGCTTTTTCGGGATCTGTCAAGCTGCCTCTTTAACACACCAATCCCTGTTGTGTGTCTTTGGGGAAGATGTTATGCTGCTAGGCTGTGATCATTAAAACACTGCATCTTTTTGTTTCCCACCTCCATGCTTTTCCTCTACTTTGGAAGGTTATTGGGACATACAGTGTTTTTTATGCAGTGTTTTTTCCCCTTCGCTTTGCTTCTTTCGAATTATGAGCAACGCTTAGAAATTTGGTCTTTTTGTTGAGGATGTTTTTTTTACGTTCCGTGGAGAAAACTGGCTGTGTAATGCTGCATGATGCACTAATATTGATGGTTCTGTTTAATCCTTTAAAGAGAAGAAAAGAAGACTAAAGTTATCAGCATTCAAAAGGCAAGACACATTCTTAAATATATGCAAAGCCTTAGAGAGACGGAAGCGCAGTAGTCACTGCTTTGCAGGAAAATTCTGACAGGACTGTCACATCTTTCGCAATGTAAGATTTGAATTATTAAAGCTGCCTTTGTTTATTAAATTGAGCCTCTAGTGAGAGGATTAAGTGGAGAAAAATGGCATGTCAAGCAGAGCCATATTGGGCATCCTTTTTAATGGCTATTAGCACAAAACTGCCTTTTTTGTTGCAAAAAACTTTAAGGGCACTTAAGTAAAATGATTTCTTTTCCGTTTGCATCTTGAGAAGTGGTTTCTTATAGCCTTTGTGGAGAGGATGGGGAAGCTGAGAGAAGCGTCTTATTTAGTCAGTCAGTATGCCCTTTTAAAACAAACACCCGGACGAAACTTTAAGGCAGACATCTTTAAGAGGAGCGGTTTCTCTGAATCTGTGTGTTCAGACGTGAGTGCCAAATAGGAAGGACACTTGTGCAAATCCTCGTGCATGTGAGGCTTGTCTCAACAGTGGTGAAGTGCAAGGCAGTTCTTCTCGTCCTACCCGCCACCGCCTTCTCTGGGTCTCAGCGGTCATACACTCAACTTCACACTGCCATTGCTGAGTGTTGTGTGTCACTTAAGTATCACCAGTGCTTTTTTCCACAGTCCATTGCAAAGACAATCTCCCCCCGGGCATCCCCGCCCATCCCGTGTCTTTCTGGACTTTATGAGAAATATGCAGATAATGGAAAATCTTAGCCAGCACCTTTAGACCTGTAGGAAAACTGTAAATCTCAGCAATTCAGAGGAAGACTCTCTTTAAATTGGGGATTTTTAAAAATAGAACCCAAAGCTAAGGAACTAAGCTTGTTCCCATGCTTAAAAGCAGAAGAGGCAGGAATAACTTGCTGAAGACTGAAACCTGGGTGGTCAGAGTTGTGTTGGCTTTTTATTTTAAAATCCTCCTTTGTGAAATGCATGCTCGCAAGTGGGTCATTGTGCATTTAAAACAAGAATCCTTTGACTGTGGGGAGGACTGAATCCAGCTTCCTGCAGAATGTTTCATGAGTGCCTTTTCTGACACCACGGGCAGTCCTCAGGATTAATCAGTCTGCAATTAGGCGGGATTGTGGTGGGCCGGGCAGATTAAACTTTTCTGCAGCTGCCTTGAGGAAATGGCATTTTGGCACCTGGTCCTTGCGGGCATCCAAGATGAGTCTTGATAGGGATTGTGTGGCAGGGAGAGGCTGCCCCGGAGTTCTTGCATCCAACTTCAGAAATTCTAATTACCTGCATTTTATCTTCCAGGTGGTTACTTCTTAAAAACTTGGCTCAGAGATGCCTTAGTGTTTAGAGGCCTTCTTTTGACTTAAGGTAAGATGATCTTACACCTCCGTCATGTCACTCTGTCTGAATGCCTCTTCTCTCTGTTAGAGCTAGACAGGAACTCCTGGGGCCAGTGATGTTCTGAACACAGAAATAGTGAGTGCTTTCCCGTTTTATACCTTTCTGGACGTTGGGCTGTATGCGCAGAAGGAATCGTGCTGATAGGAGCCTTCCCTTCCCTGCTTCTCTGGGCGAGCTGTTGATCTCAGGGACTAAACCAGTGTGGTTCTGTTGCTGGAATATGCAGACAAGCTGGGGGTGCAGAGCTGAAGGGTCTCTTCTGCAGGAAACATAATTTGCAATCTTTTCGTTTGCTCAAGTAAGCAGAATTAACTGCAGACGGAGAGAGGGGCAGTTAAGTTTTAAATAATCGTATTCTTAAGATCTGTCTTAGCTTTTTGTGTTAAGTGAGAAAGCTGAGTTCTGAGGAGGCAGCAATTACAGGTCCCTGCAGCATGCAATTACAGGACGTGCGATTTCCCTCCTGCTGCTTGAGAGACGAGTTCTCCTGAGCAAAACGTGATTCTGGCTCTTCAGCTTAGTTCCCTTCGCAGCCTTAAGGATTGCTGCGTTAAATCATGGAGTAGCAACTTCAGGCTTTCTTAACTGTTGAGTCTAATTTTGTAGGACATGTTAAAATATTGTTACCATAGACTAATGTGAAGGCTTTTAAAACGGCGAGCTTGGACCATCGCAGTTCCTGGAGAAATAATTGTTCGGGCAGTTTCTTAACCACAGGGCTTAAGTGGAGAGTTTCGCAGAAAACCACTCCGGGTCGGGAATTGAGCCTGGTCAGTGCGGCAGGTGGGCTGGAGGCAGGAGTCAGCGCTCCCAGCAGCAAGGGCCTCCTCCGTCTTGCATCCAGGTGACAGCAGCGCAGGATATATTTCTGTCTAGACTCTCCCCGTGCCAGCTTTTACCTTTCAGAACGTCGAATTACCACAATATTTAGCACAAAATTTCACCAAGTGTTGCCGGTGTGAGGCAGGTGACAGTCACACACTCTTTGGGCCTTGTGATGACCTTGCGAGAGGAATATAATCAGACAAGAGCCAGGGACATTTTCTAAGTGAAGAAAAGTGGGATGCATTCATCTTAACATCTTGGCTCAAGTACAAAGGGAATACATTCCTTTTTTCTGCACGGCGACAAAGTATCTTTGTGCAAAGGGCTAGCGCAGAGGTCGGCAACCTTAAACACTCAAAGAGCCATTTGGACCCATTTCCCACAGAAAAGAAAACACCGGGAGCCGCAAAACCCTTTTGACATCTAAAATGAAGATAACACTGCATATGTCATTTTTTACCTTTATGCTATGTATAAAAAACTATAGTGTTGCATTTATGAAATCAATGAACTGCTACAGAGAAAACAAATTTGTATTTCTGCATGCAACAAAAACATATTAGGCATGCTGGTAAACCAGCCTCGTCAGCAGTGGAAGCAAATGAATCTGTCCCCATACCATGAAACGTTCTGTTTTCTTCTGAAACCTTTCTTTTCTTGGATTTATCCATGGTTGGCCTCCCGGGGGTCGAAAAGCTCAATGAATCGCGTGCCGGCGGGTGTCGCACATTGGCGGTTGTGGCGCATATTTTGAGCGACAGAGCCGCAGCGGAGGGATGAAAGAGCCACACGCGGCTCCGGAGCCGCGGGTTGCTGGCCCCTGGGCTAGAGTGATGCCGCCATGATTGGAGTTTGTCCCTTGGTGCAGAAGAATCCATTTCTGAGTCGCATTTGGGGTGTGAAATGCATTGTGTGTCCAAAGCTGACTGTAGCTCCAAAAGATAAGCATACACAGATTTGGTGGTAATGCAATTCCAGGGCATCTCATTTATGGCTGTTTTCCCTCCTGCCCACATATTTGAACCAAATGCTTGCTGATAAGGAACTGTGAGGGTGAGAGGCAGTGGAGAACTGACCGTCCCGATCTGCACAGCTTTAATGTTAGGGAATTATCCATGTCAAGAGAGAGAGGCTAGATTGAATCCCGTGGAGGAAAAGCAGTTGTTTTCCCAGCCTGCTGTCTTGGGCACGCATTTTAAAAAAGAAAAAAAAAGATGGATGTATCAAGCACTGCTCATAAGGAGCTGCTGAAAATTATTTTGCTGTCAAAAGGACTTCATTGGAGACTTGAAGTGCCGTACTGGGGATTTGGGGAAGCGGGGAGGGGGGGGGCAAAATGAGCAGGGAGGGCAACCTATTGGTGCTTTGCGTAAATTATTTTTGCCCTCGTGAATTATTCATTCTTCCCAGCCCAGACTGCTTTATTACAGTATTTAATACATGTTAAATGACAGTGACTTGCTTAATACGGGGAAGGAAGAGCTTGGAGGCGTTTGGAGAAACTCTCCCAGCAGTGGCGAATTGAGTGTGCAGCCGTGGTGTCGCCCGAGCAAACCGATTGGTTGGTATTGTGCTTAAAAGCTTCGGGGTTCAGCAGCCAGTGGATAGGAAATTGGTGCCTTTGTGTCACCTCAACAAGCTCTGCTGGTTAAATTCTGCACGGTGTTTCTAGTCCCTGGCGTGAACACCCCTTGGCTTGGCTTGGCTTGGCTTGGCTTGGGGATGGCTGGTGTCTCAAACAGCATTTTTCGAGGAGGCAGTGGGAATGGCTAGTCATGAATGTAAAGATGGGTTTCTTGGAAGACTCTCTTGGAATGGGGAGCATGTCTGTCTCTGCAGGATCACACACCTGCCACAAAGAGAACCCAAGAGCCGGAAAAGCGCCCTGCAGCAGGAAAGCTGTGCTTCGTGTTGGGTTGTCCAGTGCCATCTGCCCTGGCGAGGGAGGATCTGGCCCAGTGCAGGCAGGCTGAAGGCTGGGCCAAGCGGAGGGTGCAGCGCCTGCGGTGCAGGGAAGCCTGTGAGGTGGGAGCCGCCGGCCTGCAGGGAGGGGGCCGCTGGGCCTGCCCCCCTCCCTCCGGCAGCACCGAGCTGGGCCTCCCTGAGGACTGGCAGCCTGTGTTGCCGTCCAGCCGCATTTGCGCTTCTGAAGCTGGACACTTCTTGCAACATGTGGCGTCTCCGTATTTTTGCTGTGGCGCTTACATCCGGGGTCCCCTTGCCCTTTGCACCGCGGCCTCCGGGGGTATGAAATGGGCAGAGACGAGGGGTGCACCTTCCCTGCAGGGAAAGCAGGACTCCCACAGGGTGGCCCCTGCTTTTGGTGGGGTGGCCCAGCTGTCCCCCCCCCTGTAAGCAGGACCCAGTGGTGGGACAGCGCTTGCAGGTCCCTGTGATTTGCTTGCTCTTCTGTATGCCCTGCCTGCCAGTCCGTGTCAGGAAAACACCTGAGGTGTGGGCGAGGCATAAAGAACAGAATGAAAACCTTCAACATCACGGGTGGGGTGAGTGGTCTCAGGTGCGGCTGGCTAATGACCTGTCCTGTGTAAAAATGATGGCAGGTGCCTTTGTGTGCAGCATGAAGAGGGTTTTATCAGAGGGTCGCTGGGAGGCTGTTCGCAAGAGCCTCTTGGAGGTCAAAATGGGGCAGTGTTTGCCTTTGGCTTCCTGCGGGATGCAAGTGAAGCGATTCTGAGTAATAAGCAGAATTGGGGGTGGGGAGAAGGCAGTGGAGTGGTTTGCACTCCGCATCCCTGGCCGTTCTGCCCCCAAGCATTGGCTCGCTGTATTTGGCAAAATCTTTGCGTACCTGCAAGGAGCATTTTTCCTTTTTCGCTCTGCAGACCAAACTGGGGTTCTGTCCTAATAAGAACCCTGTTAAGAATGTCATCATGGCTCTTTCAGCATCCTTGTCTGTGTAGTGTTGACCATTCGCAAGACCCTCGGGAGAGGAGGGGTCCTTCCATCCTAGTGTGATTTCCTTCATCCTGGGATGATCAGGGAGTGTTTGGGCGAGAACATCCAAGGAATCCGCCAAAAGTGCCTTTGGCGAGAGAGCAGAAAATGCCTGTATTCCATCAGGGTCTGGGATTTCAGAGTAGCCCAGAACATTCTGTTTGCTTGCCCCAGTAGCAGCAGCTTTTTCTGTTGGAATCTCTCCCCTCTGCCAGTAATGTAATGCTATATTCATTGCAAAATATGCACACGCACAACAATTCCGTCTGGAAAATGTTTTCGTATTGGCTGATATCATAAACTTTTGCATAATTTGAACTGCATGCATGTTATTTTAGAACTGAAATTTCCCCAGACATTTTGTGTCTGGTTGCACATTTAAAAAGTTCTGTTGTGTGCTGGACATTTTTGTCTTTTCCGCAGTGTTGTTGGTTTCTGTTTTGCTCTGCCTTGGCCCAGACCTGTTCACAGAATATGCAAGTATGTCTTTATTATGTGTTTATTGTATTTATAGCCAACTGTTTTCCTTTAAGGAACTCAGAGTGGCTTACATATTCTCCTCCTCCTCTCAATCTTTTCCCTGTGACAACAACCCTGCAATGTAGGCTGGGCTGAGAGTCTCAGCTGGCCCAGAGACACCCAGGGAGCTCCGTGGCTGAGCGAGGACTCGAACCCAGATCTCCGAGTCCCGGTCCCACACTCTTAACCACCACACCACACTGGCACTCTGCAAAAGAATATTTGGAACATGAAGTGCCCACACTGATGGGTCAAAGGGCCTGCTGGCAGTTACTGGGTAGATTGGAGCAGGTTATTTTTTATCAGGTGAACATGAAATGCTTTGGGTCAGTGAGTTGTAAGGATTCATGTCTGGGAAATTAATCAAGAGGGTCTTGGTTTTCCTGGAAGCCCTGGGCACTCTGGCCTAGAGCAGATCTCTGAACTAAAGGAGGCTGAATCTTAAACACAGCACCTGCAAATTTCACGTACCTGGCGAGGGACATTTCTGCAGGGCTTGGGTGTGTCGGCGAACCGCTGCTGGGATACCGGAGTTCAGCGTTTTGCTTGTGAGTAAGCTCCAGTGGGCCTGGAACCCACCCCCTCAGTTGCTTGGCAGTTGATCAAGATTCGTTTTCTCCCTGAACTGCCCCCCAGATTTGGAGTTTTTCCCAGAAGCAGTCCTTCGG